GTATTATATACTTACAAATTTTATGGTGGTATAAATATAATTTATTAATAAATATATTTACAGCAAAGATTTAAGTGTTGCACACGTATAAATTTTAAGTAATATACGTGTAATATTTTAAATATTAAGGATATGAGTGATTCCAAGGTAAACCTCAGAAAAGTCTGGGTTAGTTCTCCCAAAAACTTATCTGCAAGCAATTGAAAAGTGTAGGCGGAGAGATGCATAATGTGTATCACTCTCTGTAGGTGTGAAAATAGATAGAGAGAGGCTACGTGAATTGTGAAAGGTGTTTTGGGCAAAGGAATGACAAGTCTCAAATCAGTGAATATGCTTTGACGTTTTCATATCGAAGAAACTTGAAGACTTAAACATGGTCTACAGAACCCGTGGATGGCCAATCACAACGAGTCAAAGCTTAAAGGGTTAATCTCAATTTGTATCTCAAAAGATAATTTATATATTAATTTGTATTTCTAAAGATCAAAAATTTTAATTTATATATTCAAAGATAGAAATTTGTATCAATATGTATCCTCAAAGATAAAAAATCTTAATTTGCACCCTAAAAGATAGAAATTTGTATCAATGTACATCCCCAAAGATCAAAAATCTCAATTTATACCCTCAAAGATAAAAATTTGTATCAATGTACACCTAAAACTAAATTAAGAAATTATACCTAGATCTCATCATGCTTGTCACTTAATCATTTGAACCCCTTCACATTTAGAATATTACTTCTATATCTCATGACGTTTGTGCACGTGTAACAAGTAACTCCTTTTCATTGATATCTGTTAATATAACTGTTAAAAAATATGATTTTATCCTAATAAAAAATTATAATTTGATATTAACCTTTATTTTATGGGTCCAATATACTCTAAAGTTCAAAATCAAGTTTACCATTTGAATGTCTAATAAAATAAAAGGTTGCACATTGAGTAATATATTGCATTGGATATAAAAAATATTATATAAATATTTACATTCTATTGGACATTCAAATGGTAAGTTTGATTTTGAACATTAGAGTATATCGTACCCACAAAATAAAGAGTAATATACAATTATAATTTTTTATTAGGATAAAATCATATTTTTTAACGGTTATATTAACAGATATCAACAAAAAGGGGTTACGTGTTACACGTGCACAAACATCATGAGATGTAAGAGCAATATTCTAAATGTGAAGGGGTCCAAATGATTAAGTGATAAACATGTGGGATCTAGGTATAATTTATTAATTTAGTTTTAGGTGCACATTGATATAAATTTCTATCTTTAAGGGTATAAATTGAGATTTTTGATCTTTGGAGGTGCAAACTTATATAAATTTCTATTTTTTAATGTGCAAATTGAGATTTTTTATCTTTGGGGGTGTACATTGATACAAATTTCTATCTTTGATGGTGCAAATTAAAATTTTTGATCTTTGAGTGTGTAAATTGAGATTTAAACTATCTTTTAGGGTGTAAATTGAAATTAACGCAAGCTTAAAATGTAAATTCTTTATTTGTTTTTCAAATAACATGCAAGACTATGACTATAGTATCAAAAAAGGACCATATTAAAAATATAACTTTTAAGGGCTAAATTATAATTATTAATGGTTAAATTATAATTCAAAAAATTATGATCAATCACAAAATATACAACGATTAAATTTCAAATAAGATCTTTTAAAGATTTTCGTGATTAATCATAAAATTCTATTATCGAACATGACATTTGTAACCAATTTTTAGAAATTAATCGGACATTATGTTTCTTTTACGATAAACAAAAATATCTTTTCGATTGGTAGACTTGCTCATCTTACTCCACAACTCATGCGTAAGGAACTTAAAAGGCTTGCGCACGGTACAAACTGGTTTATTGAGCATAAATTGGAAAATAGTCGGAACCGCCTCCTTTCTTCGCCTCATTACACTTATAACTTTTAAACAGATCAGCAATGAATATATATATATTCTTCGTCAAAGGATTTTGACTGACCTGACGTAAACCTACGTTTTTTGCTAATAACCTTTATCTCTCGATCTCAGCGGGCACGTTTGTCCCACATTGACAGAGAGTCGTCTCCAGCCTTGACACTATATGGAGATGGTAGTTCCACCTCTATATAGTGTCAAGGCTTATAAGTGAGAGGGGTAGATGACTTTTCGTCGATGTGGGACAAGCGTGCCTGCAGAGACCGAGACGTAAAGACTATTGGCACAAAATGTAAGCTTACGTTAGGTCAGCCAAAATCCTTCGGTGGGGGAGGACATTCTGAACGCGCGGATAAATCCCCTACGATCAAGTGGCTAGTAGGTACCACCTCCATAAAGGGTCAAGGCTTATATGTGAGGGGAGGAGACGACTCTCCGTCGATGTGGGATAAGTGTGCCCGCAGAGATCGAGAGGTAAAGGCTAATGGGCTTGAATTTTTTTCAGTTTAATCGTTTTGATTCGATGTTCCTAATTAAATTTTTATTTATTTTACAATTATAATACTCATATTTCTCATATAACTATCTCTTTGTCTCTCTCTTTCATACTATTATTTTTTTTTTGTTTTTATTATGTTATTTTTGTTATTATTTACTCCATAAAAATAAAATTGCATGTTATACAATTATTTATTCAATGAAATTAATTCAAAATTTTTTATATATCTAACAGTATGTATTTTGCTACTTACTTCTTAATTTTTAAAGAACATTTAATGTAAATAAAAAATAGTTCATTGACTATAAATACCAAATAATATTCAACACGAATGAACCTTAGATTGTAAATTAATATATAATTTTATCAAAAATTGACATTTAATTTTGTCCAATTTATATTCAACTTTACCAAATTAATATCAAATTAATTTTTATTGTTATCAACTTAATATTGAAAATTATTGAATAAATTTTTTGGGTGCTAAATCAAATTTTATTAATTTTTTGGTACTAAATTTAGAATAGGAAAATTGTAAAAATAATAAAAAAATTGGGATGAAATTATTAATTTTTTTTAATAATATTTATGAAAAGGGAGACATAAGGAGTATCCATGTAATAAATTTTAGACCTCAGAAGATCTCCGTGTTATTTATAAAATGTCAAAAAGCGTCTGTGTAATATTGTCAAAACTCAAAGGATGTCCATAATTTTTACCCCTTGTTTCTTAATTAAATATTTTTTTCTCTTAAAAGCATGAATTATTGTATTTCTAATAAAAGTTGTTATTGTTTAGGAGGGTTTGTTGGTAACCAAAAAAAAAAAATGTAAGTGAGTTTGTTTGTGCGTATATTTATATGTGAAGTATTGGACACTGGGTAATTAAATTTATAATTATATTATATCATTTTGGGGTTGAATGGTGATAGTAATAATAAATTCAAAAGTTTTATAAAATGAGCAAGATTTGAGTTTATTTTATTTAAGGCTAATGTCACTTTGCACCTTAAAAGATGCTTCGATTCTCAATTTTCACCTTCAAACAGTAAAAATCTTATATTGCACTTTAAATGTTATGAATTAGTTGCAATGTGGACCTTGCTTAGACTACCGTTTAGTTTTCCATCATAAATTGAAACACGTGACTTGCAAGTGCTTCGACTATGGATTTATTTATAAATTCACATAGTGTTGACATCTCATGTGAGTTGCATATGATATACTTAGTTTTTATTTGATTAATGAAATCTTATTTTTGATACATAAAATGATGTTAAATTAATTACAGCCGAAGATCTGCAATGATAAGGCATACCTCATCCTCATGCTCAAAGTACTTGCAACTCATGCGCTTCAATTTATAACAGAAAATTATACGATAGTTTGGTAATGTCAACATTTCTGTCAATTCATAACAATGAGGATGCAAATTGAGATTTTTAAAGTTTGAGGGCACAAATTAAGAATCGAAGTATCTTTCAAAGTGCAAAATGAGATTAACCTTTTTATTTATCACTTAAAAATTGCGAATTTAATGTGTTACGTTAGTATTTTTTTTTTGGCTTGAGGTATTTATTTCATGGGGATAGGTGGATTGGAATTATGGTAGTTGAGTTTATAATTATATTGTGGTATTAGATTGAGTGGCAGTAAAAACGATAAATTTGTGAGTCTTAAAATAAGCAAGATTTTATTTATTTATTTTATTGCTTAAATCTTGTAAATTTCAATAGGTTATGCTAGTATTTACTTCTTCTTTTTTTTTCCCAAATGCATTTGTATATATGATGTTATTTTTGAGAGTTTTTATATATTTTTTATGTTAGTTTCATTATTATGGAGGATATGGTCGATATATTTTGAGCCTCTTTAAAAGAAGAATTTGTATAAATATTTTTAGGCTATCCCCTTTGAATTTGGATAATTATTTAAGATTTTTTTATTTGGTGTATTGTGCCTTTTTGCACAGATAATAATATATATAGTGAACTTTTACGTTATAATTTTCACTAAGTGAAATTCCAATTTGACTAAATTTATTTTAATTTTGAACTTAATTTCTGGAATAAAATTTTAAAATCTATTTTAAATTTCATCTAATAAAATTTGGAAGCTCCTTTTCAACCCCCAATAAAATTTTAAATTGTTTGGCGTAGTTTCCATCGCCCTGGCTGTCGGCATCATATTTTGCAGTCTTATTTTACATTTGATTTGTGGTCAGTCTAATCTAACCTAACCTAACCTAGCCTAACTTAACTTATCACTTAAACAATTGCACCCCTAAATAAATCTATTCCAGACTGGAGGACTATAAGAATGATTTCTCGTTATTTTGATTTTCCAGCAACTGTTGTTTATAAATAGATTAGAGTACAATTCAATTACCAAAACCGTTGACCGGAGCATGATTCTAGGCACTCCCTCCTCCAACTTTGCTTTTGATGAAATGCATCCGGGTCCAACTCTCCTATTAAATTCGATCAGACATGATTGAGAAGCAATGTAATTAATTACCTATCAAAGATGCTCAATTAACTTTTTTGATGGGTCTATCTGCAGCGAAATCCGGCACGAATCGGGTCCAGGCTGGGATGGCCCAGGCATGCGTGACTTACGGATCCATGTTGGGTCGTGGTACATAAAAGAAAGAGAAACCCGGAAGGAATCGGGTCCGGGCTGGGATGGCCCAGGGAAGCGTGAATTGCGCACTCATGTTGTGTACGTGTTGCGCACTCAAGTTAAGGGCAGTTGTGGTATTTTACTCCAGTGATTTTTCTGATCGGCGGTGTCACTGACTTGTAACAGGCAGCCGTAATCATTGATTTTTTTTTTCTTTTTAATATAAAAATTAAAAAAGACGGAGAGAGAGAGAGGAATAAATAAATAAGTAGGGCCGACGTGATGAATCTCAATGTCTACGTGTGTATGAGATTTGTTATTGGGTGTCTCCTCGTTGCTGACGTGTAATGACACCTCATTTGACGGTAATATGAAATTTAGCCGTTTTGTGGATACGTGGCGCATCATTCGTTACTCATTATCCATTTCCGTAGTAAATATTCTACGCGCCGTCATATTATATGTGAACATTGTTATATAATATTATTAATTAATAATAAAATATTAAATAAAAAAATTAAACTCACTTAAATAATTATTGAATTATATAAAATGAGAGTAAATAATTATTAATTTATGTGAAATTTATTATTTATTTATTTATATATATTAATGGTTATTAATACTACATGATAATATTGATATAACATCGTGATTAATATTTTCTCCATTAATAAAGCGGACCGAATAAAAGTGTGTACCCAAGGCGGACAATCACACTATTGGCGCACATAAAAACTAGATCAAAGTGTTATCATAGTTTTGTGATAAAATTGGCGTCGTTTTGGATTAAAACATAGGCACTTTATATATTATGATTAGATGAGAAAAATAATTTTTATATAATTAAAAAATAAAAATACAATACAAAAAAATAGTTTTCAATGCCATAATATAATCCAATTTTAAGGCCCCACCTGACTTATTTTTCCACAAAACGGATAATTGTCAACATTTGAAGTCTAAGTAAGAAAGATCCAATTCTTTTCATTTGTTTTTTTTCAATTTATTTAATAACATAACATTTACTATTTGTGAATATGATATTTTTAAATAGTGGGTTCTATTTGAGAATTGGGTAAAACTTTGAATAAATATCATACATGCCAGGTCATCTGACCAGGAAATAACCCTAATCCTTGACTCATTTCAGATGATAAATTATATCTTAACAGTATTAATGAAATTAAAATTACTAACCCCTTGAGACACGGCAATTACCGACTATTGTTATGACGGTTTCAGCTGTTCCGTCTCTAGAACATACCTTTGTGTATAAACAAAGAAAAGAAAACCCCAGTAACCGTTCAACTACAGACAGGATATATAAACCCACCTCCACCTCTCAAAGCTTCTCACCCTCATCATCAAATTTCATATGCCAATTATCTCTGAAAACCCTCTATCATGAGCAACGTTCCAAGATCTCTAACAGATTCTTCTCTCACCCTCTTTACACTGGCCATCTCCGCCTCTGACCCTTGGCCTTTCTCTCTCTCCTTCTTGTAACCTTTAATTCATATCAAGAAAAGAAAAGGGTAGGGTTCCTTTGTTTTTCTTGGTGTTTTTTTTTTGGGTGTTCTTGAGATGGGTAGTGGAGACAATTACAAACATCATCTGAATTTCCATCTTCATGTACCACACTTCTATCTTCATCATCATCATCACCACCACCACCACCACCAACATCATCATGGGAAGAAGAAGCTGAGAGATATACCAAAGGGGTGTCTCGCAATCATGGTGGGTCAAGGGGAGGAGCTACAGAGGTTCATCATCCCTCTGATCTACATCAACCACCCACTCTTCATGCAGTTGTTGAAGGAAGCTGAGGAAGAGTACGGATTTGATCAGAAAGGCCCCATCAATATTCCTTGCCAAGTGGAGGAATTTCGCTACGTTCAGGGCATGATTGACAAAGAAAAGTCCCACCATCACCACCACCACCACCACAATCACCATTTTTTGTGCTTTTAATTAAGCTTGATTGACTTATTGTACGTGCTAGCTACTTCTCCCCTGCAGTCCTCGTGTCAATTTGTGATTTTTCTTCCAAGTTTTGTTACTTTGTTCCTTTTGCCTGCTGGGTTTGCTGATATACTCCCAGTTGTAAAAGATGATTACGAAATCTGAATTTTATTATAAAGGATATTTGTTGTATTGTTCTGAACCCAAAAAAGAAGAAAAAAATTAAGAACCACAGTACAATGATGTCTCTGGGCTGTTCTTTTGCAATTATTGTTATTAGCGTGAAGGCATGGAATTGGTTGTTGGGTATATATATATATATATAGAGAGAGAGAGAGAGAGAGAGAGAGAGAGAGAGAGAGAGATCCAAGAGGGGGTTGCTTAGGGGAATCAAATTGAGCTTGTGTGAGTAGGGAAAGAGGTTAGACAGATAAGCATGAAGTTGTGCATGTCTTCAACAATATCTTGTTATGTTTTTCCCTGAACTTCCTAGCAGACATGATTGATCAGTGGCTTGTTCTTGATGAGAAAAATTATGGCCTTGCTCAAATGTTAGATGATTAGGTGACTGCATGTGAGCCAATGAGGTTTGAGAAAAGGGCCCCAGAGCCCACTATCATCCCATTTTGGACCTACTCTATTCAGATGAAGAGTCATCAAGATTGGTGGTTGGCACACTTGAACCCCGGGCATGTTCACACCAATTGGATCGTCCCCCAAATTGTTGGATACTCTTTAAACAGTTGGCACAGCGTTGACACTCTCCTTTTCAATATATTCTTGCAAAGCATAATTTCAAATATATTTAATTTTATATGATATTTTAGTAAAATATTGGAATTTTAAATTAATTATTGTCAGTTTTCAGAGGATTTGTCTCTTCTCTAATGATGCCAACTACTTTCATTTAATTTTTGTATCAATCACCTATCATCATGCCTTGATCCAAAACTGGTTTATAAATTATAGATCCCACTTGAATATAAAATGATTGATTAATTCAAAAATGACGAGTTTACTCCATTCCTGTAAATGAAATGTGACTGATCCTCTTATAACTGAAGTTTATGGAGAGACTCAAAGGGACGGGAACCGACATATTTTTACATTTTTTAGGGAATTTTTTTTATGAAAATATGGTTATGTTTTTAAAAACAAATGAGTTTGTATTCTTCTTAGAAAGAGGTCATGCGTTCAAGGTTATACGACCACACTGTTTTTTTTTTTTTTTGGGTTAACGGGATAACACCACACTTGAGATCAAGTCACATATATATACATTCAAGTGTGTCTCACATTATCGCACTTGAGAGATCATTTTGGTCTCTAAATCTGTCACTTTGGTCTTTCAAGGTTATAAGACGTCTCGCTTCACTCTCTCAAACATGGTCACGTAAGATACATATGACTATATATGTTGTTTAATTAAATTATAGGTGTCGATTAGACAAAAGAAATACAAACTTAAAATTTTAAAGACTAGAGTGACACAAATAAAAGAACGAGAACTAAAATAACACAATTGTAAGAATAAGGACTAAAACGATAAAAAATGCATACTTCAGGGACCGCAACTACAGTTTGCCCTTATTTGTGTCACGGTTTGTCATTAAAGCTTACTAGATCGCATTCCAACGTGTTATGATTGTTATGATCTTATGGATATAATTTGTCATTGAAAATCGGTTTGTAAGAGCATTTTCAAGGGATATGTCAAATGTTATATATTAAATATAAATTTTAAGGTCTATGTGGCAATTTGACATATAATATTTGATATTTTCACCTTATACTGCAAATCGATATGTTAAATGTTATATGCTAAATTTATGTGATGCATGAGGAAGAAGTTGAGATATACTAGGATTTCACATGGAAGATGAGATATTTAACAGTAAGCCAAAATTTGGCCAACACAATCAGTATTTAACATAGCTGTTGGAGGAGGAAGGGATGCCAAAATTTGTCATAGCTGTGGGAGAAAGAAGGGATGCCAAAAAGAGAGAGATTTGACAATTCGGTTGGAGTTTCTTTAAGGGAAAGGATATCTAAGAGTTCATATAGACACATATTTAGTCTTATTTTTAACTGATGTGGGATTCTAATATTTCACCACGCTTTTGTAATTAACGTTCATGACAGTCCACTCTATCGACAATGACTTAACGGTAGCCATTTTTCCTTTGATGGCTCCACTTACTTATCAATATTCAATAACATAGCACTATACATAGTACCTAAGTTATCTTAATCCAATTTATATATTGTCCCTTTCATGACTTGATCACAGAGAATAGCATCTCACACTGCGTTTAATCACATACTGGATGTAATGGTATAAAACCACTTGGCTGTCTCGCCAACATATCGAATTCGAGATTTAGTTCTTGGAAATCATTAAAAACATTCAGAAAGTTTTCAAACCACAAGTCAAGTCTCAAATAGTACCTTGGATAGAAAACCTTTTTTAGCCTGATTAAAGTAGTTATCGGGGTCAGTGACAGGGCCTACACTCTCATACACCCAAAAGACAAGCCAGTTAACCCAATCCACAGTACGTTTGTAAGGAGCCTCGAGTACTTCCTGAATTATTAACATCATACTATCACAAAATAAGCAAATGAGCATTTACAAAATAAGTAGACGGATATTATTAATTATATAGTAACCCAAAATCTTAGTGCTTTTTAATGTTGTCTTTGTCATTCGTACACTCTTATACCAACCATAGGTAACATGAATGTTACAGTACTATTGTTACCCAAGTGTGTTGATCGGGGTACCTCCGGAGAGAACGATTGTGATAGAACCTTTCTCTTTGATGAACTTTTCTGATAGACCAGCCACGTGATCCGCCAGAGCCACCGCCACAGATTCCTCGGTATCAAACTTTCGGACATCCTTTTTATCAGCCATTGATTCCACAAGTAGAGAGGATGGAGATGCTGTGAGTTACTATGGATTTGTGGGCGTGTCCATGCAAATTCCATACCCTGCATATTTATACACGTTTAGCTGGTTGGTTTGTTCACACAAGCAATGTGGGGGGTAGTTAGTTTGTTCACACAGGCATGATAATACTCAACTGGTGCAAACTAGTAAGGATTGTGCCTGCCATCAAATCCGTGCCGCATGACGGGATTACTCTACACTTGGGTTCAAGCAGTACAAATTAAAATTTTGAAAGAGTACTAGAATGACACAACTGAAAGAATGAGAACTAAAATAAAATAATTGAAAGAATAATGACTAAAATGATAGGAAAGTGCATACTTCAGGGAGACATAGATGTTGTGAGTTGCAAGTTTTGTGGGTGTGGCTATGCAAATGGCATACCGTTTGCAATTATACCAAACTCTCTTGCAAGAGTCAAAATTGAAAAATTGAGTTGGTCACTCTTGGGTCTTCTCATCCGGATTGTCCTGAGTGACTAGTTATATCAAGATATATTCCATCACCATACCAAGTTTCACATGTTTATAGCTTTTTAACTTGTTTTGGATCACTTGATGCTGTAACTGCCTCTGTATTTATTTGAAGGACATGTCCCTTTATTTTGATGGCGTATTTTAAACACACAAGTGAGGTGACCCAACAACACAACATATACAGGGGCCATGAAATGGGATGGACGTTCCAGTTGTTCAATAGCCCCCTCCACACAGTCTTTTGAATTTCGAGTAGTATTCAGAATCCTCTGTACATATATACAAGAACCAGTTGTTTCAGATTTAAAGTGACAGACCGAAGCAACATGAGCATTAATAGATTAGGGCACACAAGGACATTGACATTATATACATCCGTGGACCCATATTTTCTCTGATCAGTGTATCTAGTAATAATTATCGTTGGATGATAGGAAATATAATTTCTCTTGATCAGTGTATGTGTTACCCTAAGAAGAGAAAAATATTAGTATCCACATTGATATGCTTCTGGTTGTCCCTTTTCGACCACTGTTATTAATGTCAGGACATTAAATTGGTTGTTGGGTGAATTATATCAAACTTACCAAATGGTTGTGTGAATTGCTATCATGCTGGGCCAAGGAGAGGCGCAACAAAGGTTCGTCATGTCCTCTACGTCACTCTCTAAGGACAATACGGATTTGATCGAACACCACCCAGATCACAATTTTGTATGCTTTAAAGTGTGATATTTTCTTGTTAAAAAAAGAGTTTGATATTTTGTATTAGCTATTTTCCTGCGGTCCTAATGTAATTCGTGTTTTTTCTTTCTAATTTTTCTAGTATTCCTATTTTTTAATTTATTTTTCATTTGAGATGTTCAGTTTGCTAATATACCCAAATTTTTATAAAATACTATAACGTAAAATGAATAATATTATGCTGTAAAAACTTAAAAATCAATCATAATTTATTGACCTAATGATGTAGTTCTAATGTAACAATTAGATTAACATCAAATTTTAATGTTTAATGGAACCTACAGTTAATTCAAGGGTTATAGTGAATTAGGTCGATAAATTAGGGCCTAATATCATTACTATTTCGATAAGTATTACGCCGGATATTTGGGGGACATTGTTCTGAACCTAAAAAATGAGAGAAAAATTATTATTCACCTCGTAACATCCATAGTTACAATTGATCAATATTCAAAAGATCACTAAGTCACACTTTTAAATAACATAGAGCTTCTATAATGGGATTGATAATGATAAATAAAGAAAACTGGTCCATTTTTTCCGAAGCGGAATAAAGACAATTTTTAAATTATAATTCGGAGGTTGACTTCACCACCATCATGTTGCTTGTTTTATTATTTGATTCCCTAGTACATGTTTGCTATATACGGAAGTAAATGATGATTAGGAAAGCAGTCAACAGCTCAGAGTATTGCCACAGGGCAGCGAAAAGGCTTATTTCACTCACCACATCCGAGATAGCTCAGAATAGTAAGAAACAGAATTTCTATGGGTCGAGCAGTTGCGCTTGAATCTTAACTATTTATTCCAAACAAACTAGAGCATATTATTATTATTGTACAGGATCGGAATACATAACATAATACATGGAATGACATGTCCTTCTTCATGTTACAGTGTGGCAGCCTTGGGCACACGGTGGCTGCCTTTTTATTTATACGAAGGACACGTCCCTTTATTTAGAAACCATATGGTTATATATAAGCACACAATTCCAACAACACAATATACCAACACACTGGGACGTAGATGTGATGATTTGTGTTGTGGATGAACTCGCACAGAGCTACTTCGGCAGAAGAAAAGCAGCAGCATCCTGGTCCAGAAACCGGGTGACGCTCCTTTGTTTAGATTGAATCCTTTCGACTGGAAGTTTTGGCAGGCCAGGAGGACGATGGCCTCCCATCACTACATACACCACAAGGGCAAACTTGATCCCAGTGACCACTAATGCAATCTCTGAAGCTGAGTCGATTACTGGAAAGACCAAAGTAACTCTTCCTGGAGGTTTTTCTGGTGCGTCATCGAGGAAGGTAACCCATGGCTTGTCCGTATTAGGTTGAGGACGATTGGGGAATAGAGAACCCACAGTTCCACTTGGGCCCGTACCCAGTAGCATGAGATCAAATTTTGGATACCCAGTAGCCGACAATGGCAGGATTTTGGAATCAACCAGTTCTTTGAGAATGCCATTATAACGGTCGGCTGCTTCTTCCGGTGTTGGAATACTGCCGTCTATGGGCATCATGGGGTAGATATTATTCTGAGAAATGGGTACCTGTCAAAACAAAGATGACTTTTACACGGCTGAAGCTTCAAGAGAATGAAGAAAGGTATAGAATAAAAATCACTAGTAGAATTGCATATATATAGTAGAGAAATATGCATAGACATCTCATTCTCACCAGGTCAGTATATATATCAGATTCAGTTCTTGGAGCTCATTAATCTGATTAGAGTTTTTAGTAATACTTGAGATTTTTTTTTAATTTGAAGTCCTAACTCATTGTAGTCATTAGGTTAGTTGTGAATTCTAATATTTGATAGAACTAACTTTTAAATTGATTAGGTCTCCGAATTAGATCTCCAACTTAGATACAAATAGCATTTTCCGTTTTTCAAAACAGGCAAAACCAAATGGATACAGAGTTGAAATTGGTGATTTAGCCAACCCAATTTCAGCATTCAATCCTTGTGTTTTTTCAGTAGGAAGTTGTCAGTTTAATCCATATGAGCACAAAGTAAATGAATTTTTTTTATATGTCATCCAGCTCTGTCTGCACTCTGCTGCCATAAACAAAACAAACCAGTTATCTTCCGTTCAGATTAGGATAAAAATCAGAAATTGATTCTTCAGTACTGCATACCTTGGATAAAAATTCGTCAAAGGCAAGTTTATAGTTGCTGTCCTGGCTCTTTAGAGAGACTACTCTCTCATCCACCCAAAAGATTTTCCAGCGCGACCATTTCACCTCGTCCCTGTAAGGAGACTCGAGTAATTTCCTGAATTTTCAACATCATACGATCACCAATGAGAAAACTACTGTTTACGAAATAAATACAAGTATATTATGTTTTAATTAATCTAAAAAATCTAGCATTTTGATGATGTTGCATTAATGTCATTAGTGCACTTTTACACCAACCATAGGTAACATGTTACACTGTCATTACCTGAGAGTGTGGATCAGGGTACCTCCAGAGAGAACGACGGTGAAAAATTGTTTATCTTTGAGGAACCTAGCCGATAGCTCAGCTACGTATTCAGCCAGAGCCTCCGCCACAGCTTCCTCGCTGGGGAATATTTCACCTGATTTTTTGCCGCTCGCAGCCATTGATGATTGATCACACAAAAGCAGAGTCAGAGACGAAGGAGATGCTGTGGGTGTGGCCATACCAGTCGCATAACGCTGCATATTTATACACGTTTTGGGTTGGGGGTGGGGAAGGTGCATTAACTCATGACAATGGATGGGTCCACCGCCGACTTGGCTATTCAAAGTTTCAGTTCTCAGCATGCAAACGAATTACACCCACAGGCACAGTCACAGGCACAGATTAATGATAAAGAAGTGTTTCACTTTCGCATATATATTACTAATATATTATGCATGATTTTTGGTGTATTTCTGAACCTAACAATGAAAATAAAATTATTAGTATCCACATTCCAATGTAATCTGTCTTGTTATTTAATCTCCGATAAATAATGTTATTTGAGTCTAATTTACTCACTTAATTTGTCATAATCACGGACGGGGCTTAATAAATCTTGTTACATAATATTTAATTTAATATACTTTTACTAATGTCAAACATAATAATATTTGAATTCAATTTAGTGACCACTTAATTTATTTCGTTCATTGGATTGATTATGAATCTTATCTATATCTATAGTGGGCCCCATTGTCTATCAAAAAATTATGATTGATTAAGTCTAATGTGAAGACAAAAAATAGTTTGTTGGTGATATATGAGGAATAGCAAAGGGATCTCTTTCATTGGAATTGGTTATGGATCTTATCTATATCTATAATGGGCCGCATTGTCTATCAAAAAATTATGATTGATTAAGTCTAATGTGAAGACAAAAAATAGTTTGTTGGTGACATATGAGGAATAGCAAAGGGATGTCGTGCTATCAGGGGAGGGGCGACAGTAGAGGGCATGGCATACATAAACTACCCACTATTAATGCACTTGTTGAGAAATCTACTTGGAAGAATTTTTTTTTACGTTTATGACGTATTAACAAAGGGTTGTGTATATTTATTTATTTTTACATGATAACATAAAATTGGTTGTTGAGTAATCTATGAGAAAGACGAATGAATTTGGAGTCGTCAAAAAAATTTATCAATCATTTTTGTAAATAACATTAAATATTTATCTAAATCAGTAGGTCATTGAAGGGATCTCACGTTAGCTTCAAGACTTTAGTCTCTAAGTAGAAAAGTAAATACAGATCACTCGCAAAGCATTTGTAGTGTATTGATCTGAAGCCCACCAAGAAATGAAGAAAATTAGTACTCACATTCATATGCCTCCGGTTTATATCTTTTCGACCACTGTTATTAATGTCAAGACATCAAATTGGTTGTTGGGTGAATTATATCAAAACTTACAAAAAGGTTGTGTCAATTACCACCACGTTGAGTCAACACGGGGGAAAATATTTCATGCTTAGCAGTATCAAGCTGGCACCAGTACGTGGTACTCAACACCAATTAGAAGAGGCCTCTCAATAACATGTCTGATAATGTCAGAAAAATATCAACTCAGCCAAATAGTTGATGTGGTTAACGGGAATAACATTTTCCGTTTTCTCCCTCCTCTATTATATCTCTCTACTGCAATCTAATCATTTCAGCCATCCACCCTATTCATTGTTGACCTTTCATCTCTGAATTTTCTTAATTCTTTTCTTATAATCATTTGGAGTGCGAATTGTCATTTGCCCAAGATTATAATGAGAACAAAATATATAGAGTTCGAAAATAACCTTAAAAAGTAAAAAAGAAGCATATATGGAGTGATATTTTTGTGATCAATCACATAAATAGAAAGAAACGCATCTTTATAGAAGCGTTTCTTTACTCATCAACAATATTGACAAAGGGTTGCATACATTTATTTGTTCTTATGTCACGACATGAAATTAGTTGTTGGGTGACCTATGAGAAAGATGAACGAATTTGGAGTCATCAAAAAGTTTTATCACCACCACAGTCATCATTCTTGTACATGAACTTCTCCGGTCGGAAAACGCATTAAATATTTATCTAAATCGGTATACCATTGAAGAGATCTGACGTTAGCTCTAAGACATTGGTCTCTAACTATAAAAGTAAATGCCTGAGCTTGAGGGAAACGCACACAGGTGGTGCATGGTTGTTCTCAACCCGTGCCAAACATTAAAAAAAAAAAAAATTGTAGTGTACTGATCACTCACCAAACATTTGTAGTGTACTGATCTGAACCCCCCTAAGAAATGAAGAAAATTAGTATCCACATCCATATGCCTCTGGTTTGTCCATTTTCGACCACTGTTATTAATGTCAAGACGTCAAATTGGTTTTTGGGTGAATTATATCAAAACTTAACAAAGGGTTGTGTGGTTCATGTTGGGCCAAGGAGAGGAACAACAAAGGTTCGTCATGTCCTCTACGTCATTCTCTATTGACAATAAGGATTTGATCGAACACCACCCTATTCACAATTTTTTGTGCTTTAAAGCTTGATATTTTGTACAAGCTATTTTTCTGCAGTCCTCATGTATTTCATGGTTTTTCTTTCTAATTTTTCTAGTACTATTTAATTTTCATTTGAGATGTTCAGTTCGTTAATATAACCAGAATATTGTAAAACATTATATTGAAAATTGAATGATACTATGCCAGATATTTTCGGTAAGGAGTAATGCTATAAGAATCTAAAAAATTGATTTAATTTGCTGACCTAATAATGTGACTCCAATGTAACAATTAAATTAACACAAAATTTTAATATTTACTGAGCTCCACAATCAATTCAAGGGTATAGTAAATTTGGGTCCAGTATCATTACTCTTTCGATAAGTATTATGCCAGATATTTGGGACGTTGTTTTGAACCTAAGTATTCCCCTCATAATGAATATGGTAGCGTTCCTAACTATGTGACGATGTAAAATTGGTTGTTGGCTGAAATATATGAAAAAAGAGACAAATGATGTGAGATCCAATCACGTATTGCATGCATATTAATATAATTTTGTGGGTTAAATTATAATTATGTGAAATTATTAAAGGATTAATTAAATTAAATCTTTCATAGTCATGATGTATGTGAACATATATTGGGTAGGTGGATCCCGTTAGTGATGTATGAGTGAGACCATTTATAGAAATTTCATGTGTGAAAATATTAGTAGGTCGAGTTTGAAATCATTTAATAACTTGGAGGGAGGCAAGGGTAATTAACCCATTACCTTTTCAAGTGTTGACATGTTAAAAATATATATATATATATATATATATATATATATATATATATATGTGTGTGTGTGTGTGTGTGTGTGTGTGTGTGAGTGTGCCGTGTGTACGGGTGTGGGTGTGTGTTTAAGATAAAAAAAAAAAAAAACAAGAGAGTTCTGGTTTTGGGCTGAAGCCGAGAGAGAGAGACTAGAACAAGAGAGAAAAAAAAAAGAGAGAAGACGTTAAGGAAAAAAAAATATATACGTGTGTGGGTCTATTTGAACCGCAAGTAAGGAAGGTATGTGTGACTTAATTTAATCGTATGTTGTGATTAATTTTAATATATATGTTGTTATACATGTATGAACTATTTTAGCATGTTTTAGTGAGTAAGCTGTTTTAATTTAAATATATGAGTTGCCTTATTTTATTTTAATGGGTTCTTTTAATTCAAATTTCATGGGCTGATTTAGTTAATGTCAAAACAGATTTTGTATTAGTGTAATTAAATATATTTAGCATAATTAATGGACTAGTAAAGATACGTTCCAAATGAGTATTAAAATAAAAATGGAAAAAATGTGAAAAAATGACTATTTGAAATGTTCGGTATGTTTTTTGAAGGCTAGGTTGGAACCGAAATTATGACAGTGTGGATGATTTAAAAATTCAATTAAGGGTTGTTTTGCATTGATTAAACGTGTACGTGAATTTACGTATAACAGTTTTAAATAAAAGTACGATAAAAGTTAAAAATGGGTGTCGGTAACACCGAAACCCTAATTTCTAAATGTTATTATCACATATGCGAATTTTAATCTAAATGACTTGAAATTTTGCATGCAACATTTTTAAATAATGTTTGATGTGATAATGTGACTTTTGAATACAAATGAATATAATATCCGGTGCGAAATGTATGAAATGCCGAAAGTGCAGTTTTTTGAATTTTGGGTCGAAATGTGTGGAAATGGACCCCTGATCAATGTTTTTGACCTACTTAATCCTAATTGTGATTAATGTGAGTGGTTTTGGGAATTTGGAGAGGAAATGTGATCCCTAGAACAAAAGTATTAATGTATAAGTAGATAGTGCAGTAACCGGGGTTACTGGGGCACTTTGGGGTGCATTATTTGCATACATTAGTGCATTACTAACTATGAAATATGATAAACATATTGATCTTGTAATTACACATGTGTTAGGTGGAATGGATGAGACAGTCGGTGTCGAAACGGATACGGTAACACCAAAAGGATACAACGATAGAACCGAAAGACTGTAGATCTGTATATTAGAGGTGGGTGTATATCTTTATATGTTTTGAAAATACTATTATCAGATGATAGTAAATGATAGAATTTAATAGTAATTCTTCAGAATTATGTGTTACGTGCTTATGTGATTGAATAATATTTTGTACTGTGTATTGTGTATTGTAGAATGTGGCGCACTGTTTGAGACTGGGGTGTCGATGCTTGGTCACTAGACGTGCAGTCATGTGCTAGCACTGTGGTGTTCCCGGGAGGTTCGGGAGACACGGATTCATGTGGGATCGATTACCCAATGAGGGGTAGTGTGAATGTGATGTGGCTTGTAAATTCTTTAGAATTAGATTGATGTTGTTGTTTGATACGTGTATCTACGTAATATTTATCTACTTTAGTGTATTACTATCATTTTCATTCCATATACTGCATGTATACTCATTGAGCGCGTGGTTTAGCTCACACTCCTACAGTTTCTTCTTTTAGGTACTATAGAAGAGAATGCAAACCGGTTTCACTATCCAGTTGATTGAGTCGTGTGCAACGTTAGTGGGATACCACTCAGGTTGAGTGTCGATATGATTAACTGTTGGACTGTGTATTATATTTGTGAAAGATTGTTATGGCCGGTTATTAATATATATTTGTAAATAGACTCAACAAGTATACTTTATGATGTATGTTATGTGGGTGTGGGATTTTGTATATGTCTATAACTTGAAAAATACGTGATTGGTATAGGTGTTTATATATAGTACAAGTTATCAGACAGGTTTTACCATCATACTTAA